AGAAAGGCAGCGCCCGCTCCCCCAATCGGGAGATGAAGCGCCCCAGCGCCGTCACGTGCCCCGTGAGCTTCTGCATTTCCCTGAGGGTCTTTGGTGGGCTCATGTCCTCAACTGCCTTGACCTTTTCTGGGTTGGCCTCGATGCCTCGGTGGGATACGAGGAAACCCAAGAGCTTGCCCGAGGGGACTCCAAACACACACTTCTCCGGGTTGAGTCGCAGGCTCACTGCGTTGAGGCTCGCGAAGGTTTCCTCCAGGTCTTGTATCAGGGTCTTGGCCTCGCGAGACTTCACTACGATGTCGTCGGCGTAAGCCTCCACATTCTTCCCGAGCTGCGGGCCCAAGGTGATGTGCATGAGCCGCTGGAAGGTTGCCCCCGCGTTGCGTAGTCCGAATGGCATGCATGTATAGCAGTACACCCCACACGGGGTTAGGAAGGCCGTCTTCTCCACGTCTTCCACCGCCATCTTGATCTGGTGATACCCGGAGAAGGCATTCAAGAAGCATAACAGGTCACACTCAGCGGTGGAATCGACGATCTGGTCGATGCGAGGGAGCGGGAACGGATCTTGCGGGCATGCTTTGTTGAGGTTTGTGAAGTCGACACACATGCGTTCCTTTCCTCCCTTCTTTGGCACAACCACGGGGTTGGCCAACCAATCCGGGTATCGGACCTCGCGAATAACCCCTGCGGCTTCTAGCTTGCGGGTCTCTTGGACGATGAAGGCCTGCTTTTCAGTGGACTGCCTCCTCGCCTTCTGCTTCACGGGACGCACGTTGGGACACACGTTGAGGTGGTGCTCGATTACGCCCCGTGGGATCCCTGCCAGCTGATCGGGCTCCCAGGCGAACACCTTCTTGTTTGCACGCAGGAACTTGACCAGGGCTTCCTCCTGCTCGGGCTCGAGGTTGGCGCCTATGGTGAAAGTGGCGTTAGTGGACCCGTCCTCGTCGACAGGTATCTGCTTGGTCTCCGCCTTGTCTTGGGTGAACAACTGCTTCTTCTTGGTCGGCGCAGCCCCCTTGGGCTTGGGGGTTTCGGCGTCGGCCGGCCGCGCGGCCGCCGCCGTCTTGAGGGCGAGCTTGAGTACTCGTAGCGCACCTTCGGTGTCCCCGGGCACGGTGAGGACGCTGTTGCTCCCGGGCATCTTCATGAGGTTGTACCCCGGGTGAGTCGCGGCCATGAATTTGGCCAATGCTGGATAGCCGAGGATGGCATTGTAGGGGAGGCCAATGGGGGCAATGTCGAAGTCGACCAGCTCCGTGCGAAAATTGTCGTAGGTGCCGAAAGTCACCAGAAGTCGGATCTGCCCCAAGGAGCTGGACGACCCGCCTCCGACGCCCGAGAAAGGCCGGCTGGGTTGCAGCCGCCCCCGAGGTATGCAGAGGAGGTTGAAGGCCTCAACTGAGAGCACGTTGAGGCCCGCGCCACCGTCAATGAGGGTCCTAGTGACGGCCACCTGGCAGATGGTGGGTGTGCAGAGCATGGGGAGCGCACCCGAGCAGGCCGAGTTGGTGGGGTGGTCCTCAGAGTCGAAGGTCAGCCCGGCCGACGGCTCCGTCCGGCCCGAGGGAGCCCCCTGCCGCGTGGAGGCGGCGCCGACCTGGCGGACGAATGGCTTGACGTGGCGGCTGGAGGGCGGCGCCTGCGAGCCGCCCAGGAGGGCCGCGACGACCGAAGGAGCCGGCGCGACGGGGTGGGTGAGGAAGAAGCTGCGCGGCTCCTCCCTAGAGGTCGCTGGGGAACGCAGGGACGATGCCCGCTGGCCGTTCCCCGTCGGGCCGGTGGCGGTGTTGACGGCAGGCGACGAGGAACGACGAGGACGCCCGCCGACGGGAGCCGTCTGGACGACATGGGAAGCAAGGGCGGCTCGGCGCCCGGCGCGAGCCCGACGAGCGTCAGACATGGATGCGATGGTCGAGAAGAGCGAGACGACGGAAGGCAAATTCCGACGCACCCCTACCTGGCGTGCCAAATGTCGGATTTCGGGTTCCGGCAGACCCTTGAGGTTCGAACACTGGGGTGCGCGCGAAGATTCAACCCTCTACCGGCTTGCTCCTCGCCGAATCGCTAGGATCTAAACTACCAAACAGAGCAGCACAAGAGACACAAGGTTTATACTGGTTCAGGCCACCATTGTGGTGTAATACCCTACTCCAGTGTGTGGTGTGGTGGACTGCCTCTTGGGCTTGATGATGAACAGTACAAGGCAGAACAGCCTCGCGAGGGTCTGTTCTTGGCTGGTGCGACGAACTGCTGGGAGGAGTTCAATCACTCTCTCTACTGATTTTCTGGTGAGGGTTTTGGATGCCCTACCCTGGGGGTGGCTAGTCCTATTTATAGGCAAAGGCCCTGGGCCTCTTCCCAAATATTGAGCGAGAAGGGCGCCAACAATTGGCCATTTTGAAGGGGAACAGCGGGTACACTTATCCTGACTAAAGTTGGTCCTCGCCTGCCAAAGGCTCTGGTGGTGACGCCGGCTTGGGCTCCACAATGACTTCCTTCCGGCCGTTGGGCTGGTCTTGGTCTTGTTGCACCGAAATGGACGCCTTTGCTTGATGCTCTCGCCTGCGCTTGCTCCCTTTGCACCAAAGAGGAAAGAAGGACATTGCGCAGGCTGGCGCCCGACTGGCGCCCTTGGTCGTCATGGCTTGCGTCATGGGCACCTCGCGAGGTACCCCGCCTTGAACTCTCCGCCTCCTCATGAGCCAGCCTGACGAGGCCATGCCTGAGGAAGCTCCTTGTCGTCCGCCCCGCGAGGCTTGGCCCCTCGCGAGGGTCTTGAGCTTGTGTTGATGAAGATGGGTTGTGCTGGGCCTCCTTTGTGCCACGCCGCAGGCCGCAGGCAGGCAAGTCTGAGGACCCCCGTTCCCAGAACGCCGACAAGTTTACAGACTGATCCTTCTCCCCTGACTAATCTCTCCCCTCCCTGAATTCCAGGGTGGGCCCGCTTCCCCTAACCGTGGTGGCTTTTTGATGCCAACCCCATGACGACGAGTGTCAATACGTTCAACCCAGCATGGTGGAGCTCTGGCATGCCCATCTCCACTGCTTCAATGCTGCGTAGGTTCTCCAAATCTAACAACTGGAGGACGTAGTCCTGACCCAAACTGTCAGCTTCCACGTCCAGGCTGACATACAAAGGCGAACTAGGTCCCGTAAGGAAGCCTACCAGGGCGTTAGGGATGTAGGCATGGAAGAGCTGGAGGATGAGGGAACGTTGGTCGATGCAGAGCTGGGATAGCGCGGCAGGACTCTGCACATGGCTATATTTGGGCACCACTCAATGTCGAGCCTCATGACGACTTTGCGGGGGCAGCCATTGTACACAGAATACACCTCCTCAAGCAAGACCTCCACACCCACGCCAGCCGCCAAAGACATAACAATGATGTCGAGCACCTGCTACCCCCAAACCACGTCGGTGACATTTATACATGTTGCCAGTGGCGGAGCCAAGATTGGACCAAACCCCAAGCCTAAAAAAAATCCAGTGCCGCATATTACTACCCACAATACCCCATGAGAAAACATACAAAACATACACAATAAATCAAGCCTTTAAGTAAACTATGAAGCATCCAACAAAATGGAAATGAATTTGATATCAAAATGCATCAATTTGAATTCAATCAATACACACGTGCTCGCGCGTGCGCGCGCACACACACACACACAATTCCATTGCAATTCAATTTCAGTTCAATACTTCAATCTTCAAATGCATCAATCATCAAAACCACACGACTGAATATATACACATGGTCTCGGCACAAGAAAATTACCTAGTGCAGCACTACAACCAGGTCGAGACGGGAGACCAGAGTCCTGCGGGCAGCAGAGGCATGGACCGGCACCAGGCGGCTACAGCAAGGCAGGCGGGGTGGACAGCGGCAAGCAACAGCAGTCCAGCAAGGCGCTAGGCAGACTGCACTGCAGCATGGCGGCCATGGCGCGGCAGTCTCGCAGAAGTATGAATTCATAATCAATTCTCGGAAACTAGCAGGGAAGAATTTTGATGCGGAATTGACACTTGAGAAGAGAAGGGGCCGACAATGGATAACATCCATCGCAAGGCAACAATGCAGACACATCAAACATTACATTTGCAAGGAGATGCAACAAAGAAGAAACAAGCAGGAACAAGCACGTATCGCATTCTCTCTACTGCTCTTTTAAAAAAGGTAAACGCCTACTTTGGGACAACCTTTGTTTCATCTTGACACAACGAAGCATCCAGAGGGGATACGGGTGGGGCACCGTGTAAAAATAGAGGACATGATTCCACGGGGAAGGCGTGGAAGGGAGGTCTTGAGGCATGCCTACTAGACTGGGACATTTGATGTTTTCCTCCCGTTGCAAAAAAGGGGCATGTTTGCTAGTATATGTTAACGTAAATTTAACTTCTATATTTTGTGTTTCCACACATTTACATAATTCCTATCATTATACGGAAAAATCAACAAATGCTGCAACACATTCATGATATAGTACTATAGATTATGATGGTAAATCTTAGAAAAACTTTTTTTACATATCATTTTGTCACATACTACCACCGTTCAAAAATACTTCAAGTTCTAGTTTTGTCCAAAGTCAAACTTCTTAAAGTTTGACCTACTTTAAAAGAAAATTTGCTAATATCTACAACATCATATACATAGGTAGTAGATGTATAAACTTGGTCCAACTTAAAAAGGTTTGACTTAGGACAAACCCAAAACTTCAAGTATTTGGAACAGAGGAAGTACTTCGTAGGTTTATTGTTTACAAAATATAAACCAAGAACCTTTGTAAATTTGATTTTTCATTATTTTTTGTTGTTTTTAAGCACCTATTCATGCATTTGTTTTCGCACGGTTTCCGCAGCAACGTGGGTGGGGCATTATGTAGTGATACTCAAAAGAAGTGGCATGCATGCGAAATTGCTTATATAACATAGATGCACCATATCCCACTTCATACTGACATCAGTAATGCTGACCATCTAGTTTGTAAGGTTAACCATAATACTTGTGACACACTTCTGACAAGCTCATGGCTGCGTCAACTGTAGCCTGCTGTGTAACGATAACTGCATGCGCCAAATTAAGAACCAGTCCTTGGACATTACCACGTATAGTGATGCAGCCACTGAGTTTACAGTTGGCCTGCTTCTCGACGCTGATGTTCACCAAAGCATCCTCACCAAACACACTCTTCGCGTAGAGATTGGCAGCAACTAATCCACAGTCCCCATCAAGCACAGACCTGGTGTCAAAGTTTCATATGAAGTAAGATATACTATGTACAAAGGACACCTACCTTAGCAATCTGACAAGCAGTGGCATGCAACTACATTTTTTCAGCATGCTCTCTGCATCAGTAGTTCTATTTCCTACTACCAAGTCCCACACTTACAAATCCTAAAACAAAGTAGTTGATCCACTAACATATTTGTCTAAAGTCTTATGGAAAAAGGCCCACCTCAACACGCAACATGCACGCAAAAAGGCTCAAACGTGTTAATTATATTATGATAGTTATGTTAAATAAATATTTTAAAATTACATGTATTTTCAGTTTTACTTATAATATTATTAATTTCAATATTCATGTTCATATAATCAAATCAAATCTTACTGAAATATATTGCAAGCAATTCCGCAGCAATGCAGGGGGTATCACCTACAGCTATATTCTTAAGTGCAACAACTTCTCAGTGATCCAAAAAATTATCTCAGTAAAAGCAATTCTCGAAGTGGGAATGTACCGCTACATTGAAAATATGGTCATCTGGATAGTTTTAGCATATCAGTTCCTGTAAAGGGAAGTAAAATGTCCATTTGGACCTCTAGTGTGTGCAGGTTTGGTTTGGTGAAAAGAACTGAAGTATATTTCTTCTATTAGTGTGATCCGATACTCAGTTCTTAATTACATCAGAATCTTACATCCGAAACCTAGGAAACAAACATTTGTACCTTAATGGTAATGGCCAATGCAAACAAACAACGGTCAATCTAGTATATCTTCTGGAATACAAAAACAATATATTAAACAAATCCATGGCTCTGTTGCCATTAAATATACATCATGCTCTTTACAGGTTGTTGCATGTTGCTGTGCTTGAGGTATACATAGCATTCATGAAGATACTGTGTCACTAATGCATCAAAGCAGGAAAAACAGTTGCCCAAAGATTAAGGTGAAAGGTAAGTTTTCTTTGAACATACATTGGTGTTAGACACGTCATGTTTGTTGACTTGATTATAAAATATACAAATTCCTTCTCATCATGAAGCACAGTATTGACCTTCAACTGATGAAAAAGAACAGTAAAATTAGTATAAGACAAACACATATGAGTTACAGTAGAAAAAGAGCAGAAGAATGATAGCAAGACATGCTGTTTTTAGCAGAGTGAAATGCAAAGAACTATAGGCATCTATTGTACCTTAACTTTGCAACAACATTCAGCCCACATATTGCGGAAAGCTACATCAGTACATGTAGCAGGTGTCATATAATCTGCAATGTTAATGAACATATCTTTTAGGATCACCTCTGAAGACTCCATTGCATCTGAAGTCTCATAAACGATGCGACTAATTATAATTCCAAGGTTTGTTGAAGAAAGCTTAATGTTAGCCTGGATTTTCTTGACTGCCTGAGGAGCAACGGTGTAGTTCCGGGAGCGCTCAACTACTGTGGTTTTACACGATGTTGCAAACTCCAAATACAGGTTCCGCATTGTCTCTTTTGTCCGGTTTATGACTGTAATATCAAGTACAGTATCATAATATTGATTAACAGTAACAAATCCTTCAGCATACACAGGATCACTGAACCCTGTCAACTGAACAGGGGGGTTCAATTTGTTTGCACAACCTGCATCCTTCATAAATTCACCCGTTGCAGCCTTTAAATAATCTCGGACCTCATCTTCCAACTCAAGTTGGCACATTCCCTACAAAAAAATACAAAAAATTAATAGAATATAGGAAGCACGGAACAATAATTCAATACGCCCCCAAAAAGAGACTATGGCTTTGATATTAGCTATGATTATTATACAATAATATAACTAACAAGGCTTTGCTATCCCTCTGATAATACAACAAGAGAGCCTTTTAGTTCCAAACAAGGGGTAGGCTAGAGTTCAAACCCGTAAGATCTCAAAACCAAGTCATGGTCCGGCACGTGGTTAGCCAACTTCCACACACCCCTGTCCATGGCTATAGTTCTTTGGTGAAGTTCCAGTCCTTCATATCTTTCATATATCTCTAAACGGAATCCTCCCATGTCAAATTTGGTCTACCACGACCTCTCTTGACATTATCAGCACGCTTTAACTGTCCGTGATGCACTAGCGCCTCTGGAGGCCTGCATTGTATGTGTCCAAACCATCTCAGACAATGTTGGACAAGCTTCTCTTCGATCGGTGCTACCCGAACTCTCACGTATATCCTCATTCCAGACCCGCTCCTTTTTTGTGTGGCACACATCCATCTCAACATGCGCATCACTGCTACATCTAAATATTGGACATGTCGCCTTTTGGTTGGCCAACATTCAGGCTCCATACAACATCACAGGTCGAATCGCCTACCTACAGTACCCGCCTTTTAGCTTTTGTGGCACTCTCTTGTCACCGAGGAAGCCAGAAGCTTAGCGCCACTGCATCCATCCAGCTTTAATTTGATGGATCACATCTTCATCAATATCACAGTCCTTCTCCAACATTGACCCAAAATGTCGAAAGATGTGTCCTTCTAAATTACCACCTGCCCACCAAGGCTATCCTCCTCCTCGTGCCTAGTAGTACTGAAGCCGCACCTCATGTACTAAATTTTAGTTCTACTAAGCCTAAAACCTTTGGATTCAAAGATCAGTCCCCCCAGCTCTAACTTTCTATTAACCCCTGTCCGACTATCGTCAACTAGCACCACATCATCTGCAAAGAGCATACACCATGGGATATCCCCTTGTATGTCCCTTGTGACCTAATCCATCACCAAAGCAAAAATATAAGGGCTCAACGCAGACCCAGTCCAGGTGTTGCCATATTAAAGGATAAGGTCATATCTTTGTGCCGCATATCAACCATATGGCCTATGTCTCTTTATATTCAACAAACAGTTCCAGATACCATTGTTGAAGGATGTATTCTCTGTTACACTTCTATATCTCAAACAAGGACCAATTTTCCTAATATAAGTGATTGTATACTAAGATAAAGATTTATTGAAGGATATAAAGTACGCCTAGTAGGAAAATGTTCATTTCTGTGTTGGAGGATTTAATTTGGGATGAAAATGCACCACTGTATTGATTAATGAATGTTTCAAGGCATATGCTTCGTGACCAGTGTTCAAATTAGGCAGTACAATGGATTATGAATTCCATGAAACCAAAAGTAAGAGAAGTCAGAAGTAATTTCTCTCACCCTCCTGCTCTTCAGGTGGTCGAAATCAATGGAATCATCAGGATATGCATGGGAATTCTGTGACTCAACCCTCATCTTCTCATTCTTCCTGAATTGCTTCTCCGCAAGCATCTTTGTGAAGCTCTGACAGGATGACAGCAACTGAACTTTCCTTGCATTATTACCAGTCCTACAAAGCAACCTAACACAGAACATAATCCTGTCATATGAGTCGCTGTCAATAGGGTGGGGAAGATGAGAGGACTTCCCCAGCTGCAGTATGGACACCATAATCAGCAAGGACTCTGCTGATGCCTTGTTTGCTAAAACCTTAGATGGCTGAACCTCCCCCAGCCACAACACAAGTTTGGTCAATGTACATGCAACAACAGCGGCCAAGTGAAAATCACCCGACATAATGAAAACTCTGAGATTATGCGTGGGATTTGAAAGAACAGCACATCTCTTAGAACATACAGTAGATGAGTCCATCGCTGGATGGGTTGGCTTGGATGAATCACTTGACTCTCTTTCCTGGGAGACAGCATGGAAAGGCTCATCTCCAAGTGCCTCCTTAATGGTAGAAATGGCTCTCTCAACTACAGATAGCGAACATGAGTACTCCCCAATGATCCAGAGAGCACATGAACAGATGAAGGATTCCTTGATCCTACATAACGTACCAATCAGCCCACGTAAAATGGGCGAACGCAGAAAACGTTCAGTCGATGAACTCACCAACAAACAGAACAATATCATATGCTGAAGCAACGTCATCACAACCAAGGAAGTTCAAGAGGATGGGCACCACTGAGACAGCCACTTTTGGGTACTCCATGGCACAGGCATGGATCGCCTGCACCAGCATATTGCAGTAGTCATCGGCCATCTCAAGCAGAACGCTCGGTGTCTGAAAAACCTTCTTCTTCAGGTAATACAGCACGTCATCCACATTTTGTGTGGTGAGCAAACCAAGCACCAAATCCAGAACTTTCCTGCTTACATCCAGATCATGGCTGGCGAGTGAGCGCAGAATGTCCATGGTAAAATTGACCATCAGATAACGGTGTGAGGTGCAAAGCTCATGCAGGCGGTCCAAGATAATGAGCTTCACCTTGTTGTCACTCTGTGAAGTGAGCAGCTGGCAATAGGTTTTTGCGGCAGCGTGGATCAAGGTCGGTTCATTGGACATACGCAACAGCGTCCACACGCAGTCATATATAACAGCAGTTGTGCCAGTGGAGAGGAGGGAAATGATGATCTCAATATACCTTTTCCTGAGAACGCGGATGCAACGGTTGTAGGGCTTGTAACAGAGGTTGCGATGGACTTTGCGAACGAAACCGAGGGCGACCATCTGGAGGGGGGCAGGCCACTTGGCGAAGCGGTCAGCATTGGCGAGCAAGTAACTGGTGGCCAGAACCTGCGAGCAGTCGCAGAGCATGAGGAATGCGTTCCTCCGTGCTGTTGGGTCATGTTCCATGGCGAGAGCACGCTCCACAACAGAAGGAGCATCTGGGATGAGCCGCCGGCCATAACGCCGACGGTAGATCGCTGAGATGGCAGAGAACACGTGTCGGCGGACGAAAGGGTGCGGGTGGTTGAGGTTGGCAAGAATAGAGGGCATAAGCGGCTCAAGCAGCTCGGGCTCGCGCAGCCGACGGAGGAACCGCAGTGTCACGCCGCGGATGTACTCATTGGGGTGGTGGAGGTTGTTGCGTAGGTTGTGGGAGATGAGGATCATCTCTGGGATGATCTTGCCGGAGACTTTGTCCCGTTTGTGGACGACCTCGAGGTAGAGAAGGAGGAGCCTTTGGATGATGTGTTCCTTGGATTGGAGGACGTAGCGGACGACGGTGACGAGGAGGTTGGGGACCGTGTAGCCATTGAGGAGGAGCATGATGGCGCGCTTCAGGGCGTCGACCTTGGCGCCGACGTCGCTCCCCTCGAGGTCAGCCTGGATCCCCTCGGCTGTGGAGAGGCAACTCTTGTCCAAGGGCACCAGAAGGGTGCACGGCGATCTGTCGCTCATGGTCGGCGGTGGCTGGGCCAGATCTAGATTTGATCTGCAGTGCCTGAGATCTGCGACGCTGGATCTCGCCTGTGGGTGGATCTTGGATTCTTGGGGGAGGAAGGCGAGGGCAACTAACCAACGACGAGGAGTTCGAGTGGTAATCGGCCGGAATACGTTTGGATCTCAAGCAGGCCAAACTCTAGCCTTGCCCAGCCAGGATGGCTGTTTGGTGTAGTAGAAAAAAGCTAGCTTTGCCTAGCAAACTAGCCTGCATGGGCTAGAAAATCCATGCCCGGAGAGGAGAGCCGATTTGGCTCGCCTCCGTCGGCAAGAATTGATCACAAGCCTATTAAGCAAGTAACTGCCGTTGTGAACGTGGTTTAGTGGAGGCTAGGCAAATAAACCAAACAAGTAGCCTTGCTCATACTCCCTCCGTTTCAAAATAGATGACTCAACTTTATTTAGTATAAAGTTGAGTCATCTATTTTGGAACGGAGGGAGTATGAGCTATGCCTTAGATGAGCTAGAATTCTATTGCCTGGCTGGGCATGTTTAGCTAGAGAACCAAACATATAATATAACTCATAGAATTCTAGCTCATCGGACGGGGACTGGAGGCACGATCTTCCTTTTTTATAATATAACTAGCACAGATGCCCGTGCGTTGCAACGGGAGATTTTTTGACCGAAACTGCTACCCAGACGACACTGCTGCCCGATATATGCACGACGTGCTAATCCAGCCGCTGGTGTCCTTCTCAATGATGTGCATGTGCGGCTGGATTTAAGTATCGTCCATGAATCGTGCGCAGTGTGTCGTGTGTGTAGCACTGCTCTTTTTTGACGTGGATTGAAAATTTAGTGAGAATTGTCAAATCTTGTTCATTTCACCAACTTGCTCCGTGTGCACCTTCTTCTAGTCAACTTTGACAAAGTGCCTGTTCTTCTGTCCAACTTTGACAAATTCTATATGAATATGGATAAAACAAGGTAATGTTGGAAAAAAATCTAGTGCACTCCATATCTTAAAAAGTCACAAATATGGTTACTCATCCCGCAAAAAAAGTCTACTTTCCTCTCTAATGATTGTTCTTGTGATTGTGTAAACATAATGTAATTGTCGTCGTGTCTACCAGAGTTTCACTAGTAGGGAAAAACAAGAGCAATGAGCTAAAATCAGGAACCGAGGAAGAAAATTGTGGAAGTTACAATCTTTTGTTCAAAATTGTACAATTAAAATATGTCCGTGCGTTGCAACGGGTGAAAAACTATTATCCCCACATGGCCTCATCCTCCTACTAAATGAACACGTTTTCAAGACTCAAGAATAGCTATAGAGATGTGCTAGAGATAAAAAAAAACTATGAAATTATATACTAAAATGAGATGAGGACCTTTAAAATGCAATCGAAACTAAAAAAGACTACGATGTCAGCATGGCCTAATTTAATAAAAGCATCCACGGTAGTTTTGCTCCTATAAAGGCAGCCTCCATACACTTCAAGCATCAGAGTCGTTGTCTCCAAGCTTGATGTCCCTCTAGCCTTAAAGTACGTCCGCAACAAATGAAAAAAGTAAAATCAATTGGTCTCACATACTGTATCTGAAAGCGTTGTAGCTGGTGTGTTTATTAAGGTATCGATTAGAAGCAAGCCGATCCAAGACATTCGAACAACACAAAATGATGAGTCAAAAAAGTGAAATCACTGTTTGGAACAAAATAATAAGAACAAACCAATATTTAAGAAAGAATTCCAATGCAATTCAGGGTTCGTCTCTGGTAAACCTTTTTTCTATAGGCTAGCCAGCAGCATGTCTAGCTCAGCTAGACAAAGGCTACAAAAATCCATCCAACGCCACTTTATTCTGCTTCATGTGGCCGGTTAGCACTACCGTCCGTCGAGCCGCCCCCACTGCTCGACTTCTCTCTCCCCCGCACGCCTCCCTCTCCATCTTGCTCCGTCCGTCATGCTGACCCCGCTAATCAAACTTCTCTCTCCCCCTCAGGCCTCCCCCGTTGACCTTTGCCCCCTGCTCGCTCGCTGCCGCGGCCGCACACATCCCGCCTCGCTGCATCACCCGGCCTCCGCCGGAGCTCGCCATCTGGACACCAATCCCTCTTTTTGCCCTCTACTTGTTTCATTTCCGAGCTTGCTTGTTGATTTGCTAAGCAACATGTATATAAACTTGACTGATTCGATCTAATGAAGCGAGGTGGGACTATTCTATGGATGCACGAGAGTGGAAGGGCTGATCAAACTTTTGCAACCAGGATAAACCAACGAATCGTTGATCGATACTGGCTGTGTGATGGCGACCAGAGCAGTGAGGGTCGGCGTTGAGCGCGAGGCCGTGGGCCGGGCCGCCGGGGACGGTCAGCTCGTCCATGTACCCGACGTTCAGGGACGCATCTGTCACCGGAGCTTCGGCGGCTACGGGCGGTAGATGAGGCACACGGTGAGCACGATCACACCGATGACGACCACCGCTAGCCAGAACACGATGCAGCAGAGAGTGAAACAGAAGGCCAGCAGCTGCCTGGCTTTGCCTCCAGCGAGAGGAAGCCCGGGGAGCCTTTCCGGAGTCCTCCTCCCTGGCGTCTAGCGGGATGTCCTGGCAGCATTTGCAATGGTGACCACTGGTGATCATGGTGCTGGTGCTGCTTCCCGCCAACCTGACCTTCGCCGGCAACTCCAGCGTCACCCAGAACACGCTCCAGATCACCCCGGACAGCAACAGCGCCAGCGGGCCCGACAACTTCCTTGTCAACCAGACCGGCAGCGTCTTCCTCTCCTCCCCGTTAGTCTTGTGGGCCTCTGAACCCGCCGGCGACAGGTACGTCGCCTCCTTCTCCACCGTGTTCCGGATCAACCTCTACCGCGCCAACGCGACAAGCAAGGGCGAAGGCCTCGCGTTCGTCATTGCGTCCAGCAACGGCGGCGGCGGCCTGCCCCCCGGCAGCCACGGCGGGTACCTGGGCCTCACCAACGCGTCCATGGACGGCGACCCCGCCAACGGGTTCGCGGCCGTGGAGCTGGACATGGTGAAGCAGCCCTACGACCTCGACAAAAACCACGCCGGCCTCGATGTGAACGGCGTCCGCTCCACCCACGCCCTTCGGCATCCAGCTCGCCCCCATCGACACCACGGTCAACGACGACTTCTACATGGTCTGGGTCGACTACAACGGCGCGTCGCGACGCTTGCGGGCATACGTGGCCAAGAACGAGAGCAGGCCCGGCGTGGCCGTGCTGATGATCCTCGGCAAGCGGGCCTACTTCAGCTTCTCGGCGTCCACCGGCGTCAAGTACCCGTTCAACTGCGTGCGCATGTGGAACATGATGGTGGAGAGGCTCCCCGGTTGATATGGGTTGTTTCTTCGCTTGGCCTTTTCTCGATGGGTTGTTTCGTTAGCTTTCTCGTGTTAGGGACGTAGTAATTTCAAAAAAATTCCTACGCACACGCAAGATAATGGTGATGGCATAGCAACAAGAGGGGAGAGTGTTGTCTACGTACCCTCGTAGACCGTAAGCGGAAGCGTTATGACAACGCGGTTGATGTAGTCGTACGTCTTCACGATCCGACCGATCCAAGTACCGAACGTACGACACCTCCGAGTTCAGCACACGTTCAGCTTGATGACGATCCCCGGACTCCGATCCAGCAAAGTGTCGGGGATGAGTTCCGTCAGTACGACGGCGTGGTGACGATGATGATGCTCTACCGGCGCAGGGCTTCGCCTAAACTCCGCGACGATATGACTGAGGTGGAATATGGTGGAAGGGGGCACCGCACACGGCTAAGGAACGATCCGTAGATCAACTTGTGTGTCATGGGGTGCCCCCTGCCCCCGTATATAAAGGAGCAAGGGGGAGGGGGCGGCCGGCCAAGGGAGGCCGTGCCAGGGAGGAGTCCTACTCCCACCGGGAAGGAAGGAGAAGGAAGGGAAGGAGAAGGAGAGGGGAAGGAAGGGAAGGAGAAGGAGAAGGAAGGAGAGGGAGGAAAAGGAGGAAAGGGGGCCGGCCCCCTAGTCCAATTCGGTTTGGCCTAGGGGGGCCGCGCGCCCTGGCTCCTCTCTTCCACCACTTGGCCCATGAGGCCCATTACTTCTTCCTCGTATTCCCGTAACTCCCCGGTACCCCCGAAAATACCCGAATCACTCGGAACCCTTTCGATGTCCGAATATAGTCGTCCAATATATCGATCTTTACGTCTCGAACATTTCGAGACTCCTCGTCATGTCCCCGATCTCATCCGGGACTCCGAACTCCTTCGGTACATCAAAACTCATAAACTCATAATATAACTGTCATCGTAACGTTAAGCGTGCGGACCCTACGGGTTCGAGAACCATGTAGACATGACCTAGAACTATTCTTGGTCAATAACCAATAGTGAAACCTGGATGCCCATATTGGCTCCTACATATTCTACGAAGATCTTTATCGGTCAAACCGCATAACAACATACTTTGTTCCCTTTGTCATCGGTATGTTACTTGCCCGAGATTCGATCGTCGGTATCCAATACCTAGTTCAATCTCGTTACTGGCAAGTCTCTTTACTCGTTACGTAATGCATCATTCCGTAACTAACTCATTAGCTACATTGCTTGCAAGGCTTATAGTGATGTGCATTACCGAGAGGGCCCAGAGATACCTCTCCGACAATCGGAGTGACAAAACCTAATCTCGAAATACGCCAACCCAACATGTACATTTGGAGACACCTGTAGTACTCCTTTATAATCACCCAGTTACGTTGTGATGTTTGGTAGCACCCAAAGTGTTCCTCCGGCAAACGGGAGTTGCATAATCTCATAGTTACGGGGACATGTATAAGTCATGAAGAAAGCAATAGCAACATACTAAACGATCAAGTGCTAGGCTAACGGATGGGTCATGTCAATCACATCATTCTCCTAATGATGTGATCCCGTTAATCAAATGACAACTCATGTCTATGGCTAGGAAACTTAACCATCTTTGATTCACGAGCTAGTCAAGTAGAGGCATACTA